TAGCACCAGAAGACGCCGGCTGATTTGCATTGTACTGCAGCCGTTTGGTATTCACACGACGTCCAATTTTTCCACAATCATATGAGCAGAGCTGGCGTGAATAAATTTCATATTACCGATTTACTGGTAATCTCAAAACTTTACTTATATATATGAAAAGTAGGTAATGCAGTCGATTGTTGTGGCAAAGATAGGTTTGCTTCATCGACAATCCCACGAAAGCATGTGATATGGGAAAAGCCTTGGCCCTTCTATGAATTCACATCTGGCCTGTGTGCCAAGGGCACTCGTGGCAATGTGGCTGAGTGGTTGACTCGTCAAGCTCACATGCTGTACTGTTGTCACATTTTTTTCGTAAACTCAAGTTTAGTCACACACTCAGCACATAACATTCGGGCAAACACACATTGCTGACGGTTTAACAATGCCCGTGTCGAGTGGGCCGGAATCGCCGGCCAGACTCAGATGAACACCAACCGTCAGACGCAGTTGCGCCTCTTCGTAGGTAGCATTGAGAGCTACCATGACGACCAATTACTTCTCAGTCTCCGCGGCTGTTTGTCACTTCCAGGCGGATCCGATTCTCCTCCAACTGGCCCCATCGTCTGGCCTGGCACACGAAGGAAGCCCAACTTCAAATGTAACTGTTAGGAACCGTTGAGAAAACCTCATCGGAGAAACGGGATTTTTGCAAATCGCTGCAAGCAACTTTGCCCACTTGAGCATCTCGTCGTTTGCTCTACTCACACTTCCCACTTCTCATAAATTTATTACCATGTGTACATACATACATACACACATACACACACACACACATGCATACATAATGCTCATCTCCTTATAACTTAACTCCGACCAAAATGAACATCAGTCTCAATAAAAACAAGTTATTCTTGCCATTTGACAAGTTTTAATGAATGCAAATTCGATGTAGCAATTTATACTGTCCTTACAAATCCGATGCTTTTGTGACAAGAAATGATTTTTCCATTAGAAAGGTCTAACGGTCTAACGGGATCGGTGGCTGAATTCTCTCACAATCTGAAGAGTAGAACATACACTTTCACTTAATTTCACATAGTCTTTCTTCCTCAAAGTTGCTCTTCTCCAAGTAGCGTTGTACTCGTAACATTT